TGAGGTTTATAACCTATCGTGTTGACATATTCTGTGCCCATTCCAGTTAAAGTTGGCTTTGCATATGAGTTCTTAGAGTTCTCAATGTGTTGCACAACAACTTGGAAGCAATGGCAGGCCCTTGAGCTGCCAGGTGGCAAGAAGTTAAGATTGAGTTCAGTCCATATGAGTTTGGATTTGTCATTATCCTTGTCTTGTGACTATGGTTTGACAATTCACATGGATAAGAACACATACACCATTAAATCTAAGTGTCATAGAGGTTTCTCTCCGATTCATGAAAATGATGGTGAGGAAACACTTTCACTAAGTAGTTTTAGCTAGATAGCAATTGTGATATTTGCATTCTCAAAGTCGTTAGTGGAGCGTGTGTGGTTTACCGGCACACTAACCTGGACTTGTGAGAAGTGGCAAAAAGGTCTAACCATTATGATTACGGCATCCCTCTTCATAATTGTTTAGACACACAAGTGTGCTATCTAAGGGAAGGTGTATGATTTTGATAAAGTCTATCAAAACAATCTAGTATCAGAAATCTGAACTTTGGTAAGAAAGTCAATAAGTATTGATTTCTAGAAGTCAGCTTTCTGAGTACATGTCAAAGCTAGTGGGAGCATAAGTGTTATGCTAATAATCATCATGTTAGTGGGAGCATGATAATTATGATAAGATTGCAAGTTAGCAATGTTAATTATAGAAAACAAAAGGTTTCAATTGGGAAAAGTTGTTTTGCTATAATTAAGGGAGAGGAAATTATACTTCATCTCAAATCTATAAGCTTAGATCGTGAGGTTTTAATCATTTAGTCAAGGATATATATGAATTTCATGTTGGAATGGCTCAACATAAGGAAATTCTGTATATGGGTCCATTATTTGCGTTCTTAAATTCGATTATGATTACGGCATCCTTTTCATAATCTGAATTATGAGAACTTGGCAAATAGAAATGGAAATGTTATAGCAAAAGACTGGTTTAGTCTTTATGTGAGACATCATGAATCGTGTCCCATATGCTTCGGATATAGGATCGATTACATGTGCTATATTCATCCTTTCTAAAATTTTCCAAATGCCTGGGCATTAAGAAGGGAAAGGTTTAGAAACTGGATATGACTAAAAGGATTAAACAATTGTCGAGGAAATCTAAGGTTTACCAAAGATTGGTTGCTCAAGGACAATTGGAAGTATAGTGATAATTCTGGAAGGACCATATTGACATAATCTGTAAGGAGGCAACTCTTGTTCAGAAGTGATAGTCAAAATGAATCTGGAAATGTTTCAAAGTCAGAAATTTGAATCTGTGTAAGATTAAGGAAACTTAATGCAAGAAGATGTTTCCAAGGAATTATCTCCTTTGGAATACTCTTTGTAATGATTGTTGCCAAGTCTTTGTGAATTTGTGCATAATCGTTACAAGAGGATCAATGCATATAAGTTTAGAATCTAACAGATTTCAGTAAATGGCATGAATTTGGAATTCTTGCATTTGCAGTAAGGATTTGGGAGTGTGAAAAGAGAATCATTGAAGTTATGTTCAATTGATCTAGTTCACAAGTAAAGATCATAGACAAACATAGTATGCATACTTGGTTATGGCATGACTAGTGTTTAGAAAACATAGTGTACATGCTTGGAGCATGGGACAACTATTGTTTAAATTCAAGAATAAAGTTGATAGCTGAACAGTATACAATGAATAATGTGTAATCATATGGTGATAATAAAAGGTGTTTTATTTATATTCATAAGTTCTGAGACCATATTGGATTCAATTATTATTGTGTTTCACTTTGCATGTTTTGACTTCCCGATAAACTATAGTTATTCTCGGAATGACTTAAGTTATTCAAACCATCCACAGTCGGTCATATGTTGGAAGTAGATATGAATTAAGACTATCATGGGTTGGCTTGTAGAGGTCTAAGGTGTTGGACAAATGGGCTACAACACTCATGAGTGCTCATAAGTTCTGAGTATTGGATTCAACCCGTGCTCATTGGAATCACTTCATGGATTTTATCAGAGTGATCATGAGACGATAATATCTTATATTCTTCAAACCTAGAGATATGAGTTGTTACTATGAGTTGGTTGTACATTGATTGCACGAAACTGCATTTGGTAACTCGGTGCTATAAACGTGCCTTTGTGTATGATTCAACAAGTAGTAGAACAAGCCATATGAGTCGAAGTTTATCCATTCCTTTTACCTTCGGGATAAAGCGATATCTGGGCCCCTCGATGATTTGATGATGACAAATGGAAGTGCTCGGGGGCCAGGACTGATTTGATTTGTTCAATTAGTCAGTCGTCATAAATCGGAAATCGGGAAACAACAAATGGACAGAGAGAATGATTATAATCCATGTCTCAGTCCATATGATATCTAGAATGGAGGAATATATGATCCCTTATCTAATGGACAAGTCATTGACAAGATCAGAGTTCATCTACAAGGTCAGAGTTCGACAGAAGCTTTTGAGAGCTACGATTGCCAGTTGGTTCCTGAAGTCATACGCAATAATAGTTTTAGACTTATCCAAGTGGGAGACTGTTGGATTAATGTCTAAGTCCATAACTATAATTGGTAAGACTTGACCCGACCCGGCATGGTCCATTTGGGTTGCATACCATCATGCACTTGGATAGACTAAATGAGAGAAATAAGACACTTATGGTTATTAATATATTATAAGTTCTAGTATATTAATAATAAGAATAATGAGATTATTTAATTAGTATTGATCAAGAATTAATCTAGGATTAATTAAGTGATCAAAAGAAGACTAATTAAATATATGGGTTGATTGTGTAAATCATCCATACTTGTATAGTGGGCTAATGCTCCATGGATTATCTAGTTGGGCCAAAACCCATATGATGCTCCATGGATGCTCCATGGTGTATTTGAACCCATGGATCCAAGGAAATGGAAAGTCATGACAATTAGGGTTTACCCTAATTGTATAACTATATAAGCATCTTATTCTTGAAAAAATCGGCCACTAGTGAGACTAAGAAGGGCTAGCCGATTTCATGAAGTGTAGAATTCTCTCTAAGTTATTCTAAGTGTTTTGATGATTGTGAACCATTTGAGGTGTCACACTTGGGGCACTAGGCACTCAAGCTTCATGAAGACAAGCACCATCAAAGAGGTATGTATTCTATCTTGTTATATTGATAGTTTTGTATGCTAGTTTAGGATAATACCTTGGATATTCATATTTGCATGTATAATAGAGAAAACATAGATCCAAGGTATTTAGGGTTGCATGTACACTTAGGAGTGTTAGAATGCTCATAACCCAACAACTACACCACCCACGATCTTGAACTAGGAGCAGTTGTTTTTGCTCTGAAGTTCTGGAGACACTACCTTTATGGTACAAAAATCACGATCTTTACAGACCACAAAATCCTACAACACATTTTCGACCAAAAGGTGCTCAATATGAGAAAACGATGGTGGGTCGAGCTACTCAATGATTACTAGTGCGAAATTCGTTATCATCTGGGTAAAGCCAACGTAGTAGCTGACGCCCTAAGTCGGAAGGAATACTCTCGTCATAGAGTCAAATCTTTGACTGTAACTATCAATTCACTCTTTTTCACGCAAATTAAGGAGGCTCAGCTCGACGATTTGAACCTGAAAATGTGGAAGGTGAATCCCTGAGAGGGATGGATAGGAACTTGGAAGTCAAGGGTGGCGGAGCCTTATACCTCATGGATCAGATCTGGACACCGAAACACGGTGGCTTCAGAGACTTGGTCATGACTGAGGCACACAAAACTCGTTATTCCGTCCACCCAGGTTAAGATAAGATATATCTGGATCTTAAAAAGTTATACTGATGGCCTAACATGAAAGCAGAAATTGCTACCTTCGTAAGTAAATGCCTTACTTGCGCGAAGGTAAAGGTCGAATACTAGAAACCCTCCGGTCTTCTGCAGCAACCGAAGATACCAGAATGGAAGTGGGAGCGGATCACTATGGACTTCATAACCAAGTTGCCCAAGATAACGGGTGGACTTGATACCATATGTGTCATCGTCGATAGATTGACAAAGTCTGCACACTTCCTACCCATCAAAGAAACCGACAAAATGGAGAAACTTACGAGAACCTACATTAGGGAGATTGTACGACTACATGGTGTTCCCATATCCATTATATCAGACAGAGAGAGTAGATTCACTTCTAGGTTCTAGCAGTCGTTACAAAGTTCCCTAGGAACTAGGCTAGACATGAGTACAGCCTACCATCCACAGACCGACAGACAAAGTGATAGAACTATCCAAACATTAGAAGATATGTTGCGAGCCTGTGTGATTGACATTGGGAAAGCTTGGGATACTCATTTACCACTCACTACTAGAAAATAGCCCTTGAATGACGCGCAAACAATGACACTCGCTGATAGAGGACGCGCATTTGGGCGTGCCCTCAAAAATAATGTCAGTTTTGCAAAATTTGAAGGATAGATAACATGCATTTGTGTGTGCCCTAAAATTAGTGGCATAAAAGAAAAAAAAGGAAACGCGGAGGGTGCCTTTCATAAAATGTACATCGTCTAAATGTGTCGCTTTATAAAATTTTAATGAAACACGCGTTTTTAAGGCCGGATTTCACCCGCCTACTGAATCCCAAAAATTAAACCACCCCCCCCCCCCCCACCTCTTCCAATTAGCAAGAAAAAGTCCTAGGCCTTCTCTTCATACCAGAATTGCTCTTGATTTCATGATCAAATGCCTCGCGACGACGATGATAACGATCATTGTCTCGGTGCAGTCACCCCACTTCCATTTTCATGCAACCCTTCAGCACCAACACCGCTATATCCCTTCTGTAACATCAAATTACCAATTCCCAACCCCACCTTACCCAAAAATCAGACCTCACAAAATCTTTCATAGAGCCGACGATTGAAGATCTACGACTCCTCACACTCACAAAGCTGATGATTTTAAGGCTTTTTGTCCCTGATATCAAGGAAAACTAGGGCTTTATGCTCCCGACCTCACAAGCGCAGACCCAAGAACTAGGGCTTTTATATCGGCATCTTCAGGAAGAACAAGGATATTCGCTCTTCCTCCTTCCAAATCGACTAATTATTCATCAGCTCTTGTTGAATACATGTCTCCCAAATCAAATCAGGAAGATGAGGACCTCGAGGTGAAGCGATATCGAATTAAGGAAACGTCCAGAACGAATGATAGGTTTTACCCCTGATCCAATTGCAATGATTCAGCTTATGCAAATTCCAGCTATTTCACAGTTCATTCAGCGTCTCCTTTCAAACCCACAGAACACGAATCCGGTTTTTGGCTTCTTCTTTTTTCATTATCTTTAGATGTATTTGTCTGTTAGGGTTTACTTTGCTAACATGCTTGGTATAATTTCATAGACAGTCAATCCCTCATTTGTTATGTAGATTCAGGGCATGCATTATCCCTTAAGGTATACATTTTTTCACCATTTTGCTGTTAAAGAGACAAAAATACCCTTCTTATTGTAAAAGAATAAGCTAAGAAATATTGTATGGAATGTTTCAGTAAGTACAAGATAAATTAGAAGCAGTGAAAATGGAACAACTACAAGGTCATGATGAGCTTTAAATATTTTTTTATACTATTTATTATGGAAAAATCTTGGTTTTTATTACTTATTTTGAATAGATAAAAGTATAAAACCTTTTAAATCATGTTTGTTTTGATGAAGAAGTAGAAAGAGACTAGGCAGACAGAATTAGCTTCAAAGATGGTTGAATTTAAAGTAATGCAATCCCAGGCTAAAACTGTAAGTTTGACACTCCCCCTACTTCCAAGATGAGTTTCTGATATATTTTCATGTATGTGTTCACACGAGAGTATATAAATTAATAAATGTGTGCATTTTAAGGGGTTGGTTGAAACACGAATAAGACAAACCCAAACACTGGATCTAAATAAACACAAGTAATAAACTTGTCTATAATCAGAACTTCAGAACATGTGATTCACATGCATGAAAATGAGATGTTCAAAGATCTTAATTAGGCCTAGGATACTGACTAATAGCTTTGTGGTGTTTATCTAATGACTTGTGCGTGTTGTTTCTTTGCTGTTGATATAGCAAACAATGACTATCATATAAGTATTAAAGCATAAGTCTTTATAAAAGTCTTATCACTTTTATGTTAGTCCTGAATGATGGTTATCCAATTACTGCACATGCCAACTTAATTTGGTCATATAAGTGTTCAATCTTCATTTAAAGTTGCATTTAGAATACGCATCTTACTATTATTTTATATTTTTGTTTATGCTTGCTAGGAGAGACAAAGAGTAATATATGATGAACAAAAAAAAGCTAGCTCAACAACAAACTCAAATAAAATCACAGATGGCTCGATATGAAGATGAATTAGCATGAAAAAGAATGCAATCATGTTTTGTTCCCTTCATATTTTTATGGTTTAATTCATATAGGCATGGAATAAACTTCAAAAATCTTTCAAGCAGAAAATGAACATCACAGAACAAGAAACTAAGACCTTGTTAAAATTCAAGAGGAATATTAACTGATTAGAATAAGAGTGTTGTGGCTGTTGGGGGTGTCACAACCCCTGCTGCAGGGATCTACACAACAAGGTATAGTTTTTCACTTTGATACACAAAGTGTAATTAGTTATGATAATTGCTTAGGTGTTATTTCTTTTTGAGTTAATGGACTTAGCGTGTACATCTCTTAATGTATATAGGAGTAACTCCATACACACAACACTTCACCCACTCAGGAGTTAATAAGAATAAAAAAAGCAACATGCCTCTAATCTTTATAGTTTTAATAAGATAAAGAAAAACAATTGTTTGTATTACAAAGAAGGTGCTAGGGTGGTGTGGAGCAATGTGGACAGAATCTTGGGACAACCATCTTTGATCAGGGAATCTTCTAGAGGAAAATATCCATGGTCAGGGTTTTTTTCCCGTGGGCTGAGCATCCTGTCACGTGGTGGTGGACTGGTGGTGGAGTTGCCACTCAGAATGGGAAGAATGCATTTGATGAACTCATTCTTAATCCATCTCTTCAAAATAGAATTCACTAGTTGGCTAGTGTAATTGCAAATACAAAATCTCACTAGGAACCATTCAGGAATATGCTCTTTTATGGTCCTCCAGTAATAGGAAAAACCATGGCTGCCCGAGAGCTTGCCCGAAAATCTGTATGAATCTTAATCTTTTCTTTTTTCCATTGTTGTTTTTTGTTGTGTGTATTTATGATTAATTTAAAATTGAAATGTTTTTTGTTATGTGTATTCTATGATCGCAATTTTGCATTTCTAATGTCAAATGATCATGTGCAAAATATGTTGAGTGGAGTGCGAGTATGATGGAAGATGAAGCTAGGATGAAGTTAAAAGCTGCAGAACTTCTAGCAAGTTCTCTGAAGAAAATATTGATAAACGAAAACCTCTTTTTCTTTGCAAGTGAGTCCATCAGTCACCAATTTTTCAATTGCTTTCTTTTATAAATTACATCATATTCATACGATTGATTGTGTGTGCATATGGTTTTATGATAAAATAAAAAAAACTATTTCGAGATGTCACATGTTGATCTGATGTATCTATTGTGGAGGTAAGACTTGAGATTACTAAATGAATTGGTATAGTCATTAGTTTATTACTTATTCAACAAGAGAATTTCACGGGTTAATCTCAAAGAAAATAACATTTATAACCCCCAGATGCAACAATTCCTCAAGCCCTAATGGTGTTACTAATGATTCATCTAATAAAGCCAAGGCAAGTTTCATATCTTTCACTTCTATTTTCTCCCTCCATCTCAAATAAAAGATGCCCATATTTGATTTTCAAGTGTCCACTAAATCATTTTTCATATTAATATCTTTAAATTGTTGTTTTGGTTTAAGCAAATACCAATAGCTACATTAAACTGTAAAAGACATAAATGCCCTCATTCCCACTGGGGGTGACGTGACGTTTACCCTTTTACTTTGTGATACTTTATGTCAACATCTAATATTCTTCTGATTTACCACTTAGTGATGAAATCATATGTTTTAAAAAAATTAAGACAATGAAAACAGTTATTATGCTTAATAGTTATTGACTTGTTAAATTTTGTAACCTCTCTATGATTTAATTTTTTGCAGGTTCCATTTGGGTATAGTAGAAAAAATGTTCTTTTTACTGGACTTGGAGTAAATTTTTTTGGAATTGGTCTAAAAAGATGATTGGAGGTATCCTTTTTATAATTTTATTTATGTTTGCTCTATTGGGCCTCTTTACTCTTTTAGATCTAGCCTAATCTCTGTAAAAATGGGTTTATTTCAAATTCTTTTTCAAAATAGGTCTTTTTGATAAAATAAAAAAGAATAATAATAATAATAATAATAATAATAAAAAGAAGGAGCAAAACCAATGATAGGTATGAAGTAGATATTCTTTTTCAAAAGCAACATTTTTAGTTTCTTCTGATCACTGTTTTTTTGTTCACAGGCTGCTGAGGTTGCTAGGACAGCTGCAAACAGCATCTCTGAGTTGCAAAACGAGCTTGAAGGCTCAGAATCTTCTAAAGAAGATCAAGATCATCAAGAAACATCTGATAAAGATCAAGAAAGTGAAGATGAAGATGATAAAAAGCACAAGGCTCCTCATGAAAGACTTGAGAAAGCCAGTGAAGACACAATCCTTGGCCAAGCAAGTTCTAAATGATAGTTGAATAACTAACTTGTGTTATCAATACTTTCCTACTTTTGATTTTATTCTAAATCTTTGATTTTTTTTATCCTACAGGGGATAAAGGCTATTGACAGTTCCGTGGAGAACTTTGCTTCAGGAGCTTGGCAGGCTCTTGGTAATGCATGGAAAGGGGGTTCCACTTTTGTTTAGAAGTAGGTCAACTTATTAGCATGATGGCATCTATTTTTATTATGTGAAATTAATCAAATCAAATGAATCTTTATTAATTATTTATGTTCTTCAGACTGGAAAACTCTATACAACAAGGTGGTATACCTATAGGAAGCTCTGTTGCACCATCTCTTTTAGAGGTTAGCACAAACCCTTCCTTGTTTTTATCTACTACTAAAAGTTAATGTTTGTGATTGTTTCTTTTTCTTTTCACTGATTAATTGAACAAACTGGAAGAGCTTTTACTGCTAAGGGGTTGCAAGTTCTTGAGTATGTTGGAAAAGAAACTGTTGATCTTTTGATTGCAGAATCAGGAATGGAAGTTGACAAAAATGGTGGTGAAGGTGGACATGGAACTGAAGATGATCAGTTATTGGAGGAAGTAACATTTGACAGATGCTTTTACATCTATGGAGGTCCAGAGCACCTGAAGCGTAGTACATTCTTCCATCATTTTTATAATCCACTTGACATGACGTGGTTCATTTAATTTTGTAGCTTAGCTGCACCAGATCTGTATAACATTTGGTCACTCTCATTGTTGTTGTCCCTAAGTTTTCACAAAAGGATTGGTTGTCAAGTTATGAGACACTAACCACTTATGTTGATTTAAAATTGTGGTTTAGATTCGCGATTTTGAATATAATTCAGAAATTCAAGAGAGCCGAAAACAAGAGCTGGAAAAACTGATTGAAGACCAGGAATCGTTGAGAAACTCTCTTTTGAATTGGTGTTATACAATTTATGGGGATGTACTTGTATCTCTCAAAATCTTCTTCTTACTATTAATGTTGAACTCGTTATGGTTAATTCATGCCTGTTCACAACTATTAGCTAGCAAAAAAAAACCTAAATGTACTAACTTAACTTAAACCCAACTGCAGGTTTTCACTTCCTGGATGCAGTTTTGTGTTGTACATTTGTTTGCTGAGAGCATTTTGAGATACGGATTGCCACCTTCATTTCTGGTAATTAAATTTTGCATTTCATCCAAGGATAAACTAGAGAAGTGAGTTGAAGAGCTGACATGGAGATAAGACTTTGAAAAGCATTTGAGGGTATATTTTTTTATATTTCTTGTATCTAATTACTTTGTAAATTTTTGTTACAACTATTGATTTGTTTTATCTTTCCATGGAACGATTATTTGTACGACATTAAATTTTATGCAATGGATTGTATTTTTTGTATATGATATTTTATTTTCTATTATGAGACATTAAATACAAATTTAATTTGAAAATTAGTAATCTATAAATAATATTTTTTTTAAACATTTAAAATTATGATACGCAAAAATGTGTGTCATCTTCATTTATGACATGCCCTTTCTTGACAGGGGCTTTCTTGATACGCATTGTGTGTCATTAACACGCGCGTTGGAAGGTTACGACACGCGAATGCATGTCGTCTTCCTTTATGACAGGGCCTTCCTTAATACGCATTGCGTGTCGTAAACGCATGTTGTAATTGTGCGTCGTAAATGAGCATCGTAAATGTGCGTCGTCTCTCTTTATGACAGGGCCTTCCTTGACGCGCATTTGCGCGTCGTCTGAGCCTTTTACGACGCGCAATGAGCATTGTAAAAGGCTGTTTTTCTAGTAGTGACTTGTCGAATTTTTCTACAACAATAGTTATTACACGAGCATAAAGGCAGCTCCTTTCGAAACCCTCTATGGCCGAAAGTGCAGATCCCCTCTGTGCTGGGATGAGGTGGGTGATACCCAGTTAGCTAAGGGACGAGTTCCTGAAAGTACTCTCACGGGTCTGGAGATCATTCGGGAAACAACAGAGAAGATCGTTCAAATTTGTGAACGATTGAAATCCTCTAGAGACCGACAGAAAAGCTACGCTGACAAGCGAAGGAAACCATTGGAATTCCAGGTGGGCGATCGAGTTCTACTGAAGGTCTCACCCTGGAAGGGCTTGATACGCTTCGGAAAGCGTGGGAAGCTCAATCCAAGATACATAGGGCCTTTTGAGATTCTTGCCCGAATCAGCCCCGTAGCTTACAAACTCAATCTACCGCGCGAACTCAGTAACGTACATTCTACCTTCCACGTCTCTAACTTGAAAAAGTGTTTATCCAACAAGACTCTTGTTATCCCACTCGACGAGATCGAGATCTATGAGAGCCTCAACTTCGTGGAAGAACCAGTAGAGATCATTTACAAAGAGGTCAAGCAAACAAAGCAAAGTCGTATCCCGATAATGAAGGTTCGCTGGAACGCCAAACGAGGACCTGACTTCACTTGGGAACGATAGGATCAGATGAAACTGAAATATCCTCATCTTTTTGCTTAGTTATTTGTAACTACTTATTTGCTTAAATTCTAATTTCGGGACGAAATTCCTTCTAACGGGGGGATGATGTGACAACCCGAAATTTCCATTCTGTACAACATATCAAGTCAATAGAAGTCAGAACAGTTACTATTAACATTCAGACGCTTTGGGATAAGTTTGAACATTTTATGATTAACACTTTAGGAGATGCCAGGAGAGGGGATACTCTTAGGGTTATTGTGAAACAATGACATTTCATACTCCAAGAATTTGGAATTATACGACCCAAACATGGATTTTTCGGTCCAAAACCCCAGGGGTATATATATATGGTCCTTAGCCATATTTATTCATTGGTTCCATTTCCAACTAGAGAAAAGCCAAATTCTCTCTCACGGATCTTCGGCCTTTCATCTCAAATCGTGAGTACTTCTATCTAAGTGTATTATAGGGCTTGATATGTGTCGAATAACCAAGAAATCATAAGAAAACAACAAGATCAAAGAGTTTACGTCCCAGGAACACCTTGTACCTTAAACCCTTCTTTAAGGGACAAAAGAGTGCCCTAGTCCCTTCCCTTCATTATGAAACTATCCTAGAATCGTACCGTAATGTATGTAGGACTTGAAAGCACAAAAACACCATGTCCATGCGAGATTACGACCTCAATCTCGAAGGGATTTGGTCCTAGGTCCGTGAACTCCTCAAAGGACTTGAAAGGTGCCCTAATCTCTTCCAAGGACTAAGCCATCAAGTATAAATACTTCTAAGGGACATGTAAGGCTTTAAAACATCAAATGAACTAAGGCTTATGATATTAGGGCCAAAAACTCAAGGGTTTACGACCGTAAACTCATTGTTGTTATGGTCTTGGAGAGTAAACTCAAGAATGGGGTCCTTGGGAACCCTAAACCCACTAGCCTTGTCCTACAACAACTTAGATGCAATCCTTAGGGCTTATAGCACTTATATAAGGTGTTTATCATGTTCTAGGATGTCTTAACATTTTCAATTAGTAGTTTAAGACTAATTAGGTACATATATGTGTGATTATATGTTAACTAGGATCTTTGGGTGTGTACAAGTTTTCACTTGACACTTAGCAATCCTACATCATTCAGTTCATTCAAACCACCATCTACAGGTGAGTTCATACCGCTTAATCAATGTTTTAAATGATTTTAAATTCTTTAATGGGGGGGAATACAAGTAGAAAACAGCAGGCTATAGAATCAATCACATGTGATTTATAACTGTGTTTTCATCCAACTCATTTCACATGCTTCCAAATGTGATGTATGAAATGGTTTTCTATCTTAAAAATACTTTGTTATCAAATGTATTACTTTTGAAATGTTTATTAAAATGACATCAAGTCATTGTTAGTTGTTGTTTAAAACTCTTAAATGTCTTACAAAACCATTATCGTATCCTTGATCAAAACTATATCTATACACTTATGTTCTTATATATATATATATATATATATATATATATATATATATATATATATATATATATATATATATATATATATATATATATTGATATGATAGCTTTCATCCTTCATTCAGTTCCCACACTCTTGCGTAGCAAGGGTGTATACACCTTCTTGGACATCAATTACCTTCCAGTAAACTATTATAGGGATAGTTAGAGTATACAAAACATTATTCCTATTACAAGGAATTACACTAGAGTTAGGTCATTCATGAGTCTATACTAAATACTATATGAAGAGATACACTTACATGGACACACTTACATGGATACTTGTAACTAGATAGTATATGATGAGATACTATTACATATCATACGTGTTGTTTAGTTCTGTCTATCCTAGTACAAAAGGATATCATACGGGACTAACCATTCCGGCACCCACCTGTTAGTAACAGAGGTAATGAACATCTTCGGATGCCTACGGTTAATACTTATACTAGGAGTACCTTTACGGGACTAACCATTTCTTTAACCTGCTATTAGCTACAGAGGAAAATGAACAATCTACAGATGTTCAAGGTTGATACCTTTCGGCAGTCGCGATGTCGTGTTTATCCTAATGCAAAAGGATAATACTTTCATGGTTATATTTTCCCTATTACTTTTATTTTGTGTTACATTCACATAAACGATGAGGTAGACTATATATTGTTAATAGTAGTCATAAAGGGGAAAACCATCTTTGTTACAGCAAAACATTCGGGTCTTGGTAGAAGACCACTTTCAAAACATTCATGTCTTGGTAGAAGACTACTTTCAAAACATTCAAGTCTTGGTAGAAGACTACTTTTAAAACATTTGGGTCTTGATAGAAGACTACTTTTATACTAGTAGGAAATATGGGATTTTCTAGGGTTTTCATACATATATCAAATGTTCATTCAAAGATTTACATAGCATTCATAACAGCTTTCCTAAACATAATAATGACACTTAAATACTTATGAATTCACCAGCTTTATGATGATCTACTCTTTCAAAATAACTTGTATTCTCAGGTCACCAGTAGACAGGTACGATGACCAGGTTTTTATAAGACGGAGCACAGACAAGACTCGTCTTTATTTTGATTACATATGTTGGTGTCCTATTACTATTAAAGAACACACATGTATTAAATCTTTACTTTTAAATGCAATGGATGATGTTGTTGATTGTTTACTACTTTGCATTGTTGTGATACTGTACATGACATCCTCCACCCCTGAACGTTTCCGCCGTGCTTGGTTTTAGGGTGTGACAGAGTTCCAGGTTGGTGATCGAGTTATGTTAAAAGTTTCACCCTGGAAAGGCACGATACACTTTGGAAAGCATGGAAAATTAAACCCAAGATACATCGTACCATTTGAAATTCTTGCTAGAATCGGTCCAGTAGCTTACAAACTTAATCTGCCGCAACAACTCAGTAACATACATCCTACATTCCACATGTCTAACTTACAGAAATGCTTATCTGATGAGACTCTCGTAATACCACTCGATTAAATCGAATTAAACGAGAATCTTAACTTTGTGGAAGAACCCGTAGAGATTTTAGATAGGGAAGTTAAGAAAACCAAACAAAGCCGTCTCCCCATAGTGAAAGTTCGCTGGAATGCAAAGCAAGGACCTGAATTCACTTGGGAACGGGAGGATCAAATGCAACAGAAATACCCACATCTTTTTCCCTAGTCTATCTGTAATGTAAAAATTTCGGGACGA